TAAGATGTTTTAGTATAGTGAAGAGTCAATCGTGATGGTTCAGCCAGACCACGAATATCCCAATAGCCGAACACGAGTTGATCTTTATCGATAGTGTCTTGAGCCATCTTGTTGGTTTTGTCGCTCTGTCGAAACAAGCTGGTGTAAAGTAATGATTCAAAAAACGAGACGTAAATGCAAAAGGTTTGTTGATTCAGATGTTTTGAAGTGGAAGAGGTTCGTTTTGGGCTTGCACTTATCTACTTCGCGTTATCTTGCCGTCTTTTTTTCTTTCGTTTCTTCCTACCCCAATGTAAAAAAGGATGGAAAATTTGATTTTCATCATAAAAAAATTGAATATGCATTGAAAAATCCTCTAAGATCAATTTTCATGATTAAAAGTCGGATTAAAATCAGGAAATCTGAGTGAAATCATGACATTTTGATCGATTTTTAATCAGAAAAAATTGATTAAAATCTGATTTTTTTTGTGTCGATTTTTTACATGGAAAGCTTTTGTGATAAATTTAATTAAAACTAATTTAAATGGTCCTATTTAATCGGTTGCCATTAAACATCACTATCGTAAAGCGAATTTGTCACTGATATATTTGTGCTTAGACTTGATAAAAGTCTTTAAAATAGTATTACTGACTTATAGTGCAGTTACTGCTTTTAAAAAAAACCGAGTTTTCATGGGGTACATCTTCATTCTTCTATAAAGAATCCATAATATTTACTAATATATACGTCAATGGACATTGATAAGTGAACGTTTATATTGATTAAAATGTAGTCTCCCAGTCTAAGATAAGATTAAATATTCATTTAATCTTTTTATTTAACTTTAATTTCTTGCCCTCTTAATCGATTATTAGAATTTCATACTGAAAACTGATTAAAATGTACTAAAGAAGGAATCGATAAGAATCAATTACTTCTTCTACATATTATAGAAATTCTACGGTGCGACAATTTTTGATAGAAGGAATTTTAGAGCAGATGGAATTATACTTTATTCTAATCCTTCATATCATACAATCGTGCCGGTTACGTACAAAGCACACGCTTATATACATAACCATGAGAGAGACGAAGCGAACATGAAAGGAAAGGGGAATAAGAACAGAAAATAATAGAACTAAATAAGAACAAAATACACCGCAATGTACAGAGTAAGGACAGAAAGATAAGGACGGTGCATGAGATGAGAAGAAAGAGTAACCGGAGGGTGTGGGTGTATCTAAATCTTATTCATTCACCCACACCCTCCTAAGTTGTGAATCATCAGATGTATTTCCCATGAGAAAAACGATTGTATGTATTACACCTCGATTTCGTCGTTGTTTTAGCCATACTTTCAAATCGAATAAAATTATGTTCATATCCATGGATGATTTACCATCAGAGAGTAAATAGATTGTATCTGCTTCTTCATCACTGAGTGCTAATTTCAATGCATCATAGGGTGTGGGTTAGTGTCCTGCGGGAACGACTTTTTTCCCTAATTTTCCCATTCCCATTCCCATTTAGACTTAGGGAATGGGAACATGGGAATGGGAACAGAATTAAAAATTGATGTTCCCAAAATTCTTTCTATCTTATTTCAATAGACATAAAAATATTTCTATCTGATAACTATTTATTTTCAATAACTTTT